AAAGAGTTTTTCGTTGAAGCCTGGGAAGTGGTGGGACCGGATGTCGTTGCAGCTGTACGTGAGTTCTTCATTGAGGGAAAACTGCTAAGACAACAAAATGCAACCGTCATTGCTTTGGTTCCAAAGAAGCCTGAGGCAGTATCACTTTCTGACTTTAGGTCGATCAACTGTTGCAACTTAGTCTATAAGATCATTTCCACCATTCTAGTCGAGCGCCTCAAGCCCATCCTCCCATCGGTGATCTCTCGGAATCAATTAGCCTTTCTTAAAGGTCGTTTAATGATGGAGAACATCCTATTAGCGATAGAACTATTGTGGGGTTATAATTGTCGTAAGAGCCGGAAAAATACGATGCTTAAAATAGACATAAGGAAGGCTTTTGACTCCTTGCATTGGGACTTCATCTTGAGGACACTCCTGGGTCTAGGACTGCCACCTAATTATACTGGTTGGGTCAAAGAATGTATCACCAATCCTATCACTACAAGAAAAACTGTATTTACCGACGGAATTTGCGACGGAATTTCCGTCGCTGTAAATATATGCGACGGAAAACGACGGATTGGGGACAGATTTGCATCAGTCGTAACCCGTCGCGCAGTCCGTCAACAATTTCGACAACGACCGACGGAACTTTCCGTCGGTAATTTTGTCAGACGGATTGCGACGGACTGCGACTGATATTTTCGACGAATTGGGACGGATACATTGCGTCGCAAATAATTAGCGACGGATGGTGACGGCCATTTTCGTCGGTAATGCGACGGATTCGGTGCGTCGCAGGTAGTTAAACACTTGTTATTCGTTTTGACCTAATTTCGTCGCATTCCGTTGTTACTCCGTCGCTATATGTGCATTCCGTCGCTTTCCGTCGGTTTTCTGTCGCACGTTCCAACTCTATTTAACAACCGCGGCATGCATTCTCCGTGGCAAAGAGAAAAAAAATAGAAAGTTTTAAAAAAAATGTCGTTTTATTCTCGACAATGGATGTATGAAAGAATTGATTCTATTACGAATCAAAACTCAAAGCAATATGAAGAAGGGTTACAAAATTTTATGTTGTTTGCCACGTCAAATCAGTCGTATCTGGAGAGCGAAAAGCTGCCTTTTCCGTGTCTAAAGTGCCAGAATAAAAAATGACGCAGTTTGAATGAAGTGTGGAATCACTTATATCGTAAAGGTTTCATGCCGAATTATTTTGTTTGGCTTGCACATGGAGAAACCTATGATACATCATCATCACAAGATGTACATATGGTTGGATATGAAGAAATCAATAATACGACGTCGGAGATGACATTTGGAGAAGAAATAAGGAATCCATACACGGAAATGGTGTGATGCATTTCCCAACATCGTTCCATCGCCCCACATGGAGGAGGAACCCAACGTAGAAGCAAAAAGTTTTTATGGTATGTTTCATACGACGAATACGGCGATATACGATGGATGTGTCCAAGGTCTTTCAAGGTTATCACTATCTTCACAGTTGATGAATATGAAGATAGATTATAATCTTCCAGAAAGGTATATGGACGGTTTCACCCAGATGTTTAAACATTATCTCCCAGAAGGTAACACTGCACCTGAATCTTATTATGAAACTAAGAGTTTAATGCGGATGTTGGGTTTACCGTATCAGAAGATTGATGTCTGCGAGAACAACTGTATGATTTTCTGGAAAGACGATACAGATCTGATGCAATGTCGATTCTGCGACAAAGACAGATACCGACCACGACGGAAATCATCAAGAAAAGGCAAGTTAATTCCTTTTAAAAGAATGTTTTATATGCCATTAACGGATCGATTAAAGCGGTTATATCAATCCGAGAAGACTGCATCACATATGCGCTGGCACGCGGAACATTGTACTCCAGAAGGAGAAATGCATCATCCATATGATGGATTGGCTTGGAAACATTTTCAACAGGTATTTCCTGATTTCGCAAGCGAGTCTAGAAATGTATATTTAGCATTATGTATGGATGGGTTTAATCCATTTGGAATGTCTGGTCTGAATTATTCTCTGTGGCCGGTGATTCTGACACCGTACAATTTGCCTCCGAACATATGAATAGACAGAGAGTTTTTGTTCCTGTCGATATTAGTGTCGGGGCCTAAACATCCTAGAAAAAGTCTAGATGTGTTTCTTCAACCGCTTATTGAAGAGTTGACCAATTTGTGGCTCATTGGTGCCGAGGCATATGATGTGTCGATTATGCAAAATTTCTTACTTCGTGCCGTATTGATGTGGACCATCAGTGATTTTCCAGCGTATTCAATGTTGTCTGGCTGGACAACACATGGGCGGCTAGCTTGTCCTTATTGCACGGATGAGACTGATTCATTTTGGTTGCAGAACGGGAGAAAGATGTGCTGGTTTGATTGTCATCGTCGTTTTCTCCCGAGCAATCATGTGTTACGGCGTAACAAGAAGAATTTTCGTAAGAATAAGGTCGTAAATGACACTGCTCCCCTTGAGCTTACAGGTGATGAAATACTATTTGAAAGACTCGAAGATTGCGTGAGTTCATATGGATTAGCAAAAATAGCAGACGTTGACGGGAATGGCCATTTGCAGATAGAAGGGTATGGTAATTTTCACAATTGGCACAAAAAAAATATATTTTGGGAATTGCCTTACTGGAGACATCATAAGTTACGACACAATCTTGATGTTATGCATATCGAAAAGAATTTTTTCGATAACATCATTAATACAGTATTGAATGTTCCCACAAGATCAAAGGACAATGTCAATTCAAGAAAGGATCTGAAATTAATTTGCTCGCGGAAAGAACTAGAGTTGACATCGGATGGTAAGGCAGCCGTCCCGTTGTGGTAAGTATATTCTAACACCACTTTCGTTTACGATTAAAATCAACCATCGTTCAACTTAATTAATGTTTTTGAATATCATAGGTTTGATCGGAATGATCAGTTGGTTGAGAATATCAAAACAATCTACCGTTCTGATTATCATGGTCCGTGGCATAGCATCTCTCGGGTCCCGCAAGATGTCTTGGCACGATGGTTTGCTGCTTTTGCGGTATTGTCTTAACTTGTTCGTTTTTTGTTTAATATATCTTTTTTAGTATTAAATAACTAACACATTTTTTTAAAGCCATCTTATTACTGGTATCCTTTTGTGCATGATGTCGTCCATCAAGCGTTGAAGGATTGTCTCGGTGCGAGATTACGAGATAACCTTTATAGGTTGAAATTCTTGCGGAAGAAGCTGGACATGATTAGTTCAGACGTCTGGGCGCAGTTGGAGGTAATATGGGATTCAGAGGAATCTCAAGAGAAGAGTAGGATCGCGTCGACGAATCGAAAGGCGAAGTCTGCTTCCGACCGTGCCCCAGGAACTCACACTGCGGGGAGAAGATCGTTTGCTAAAGTTGCTCTCAATATTGTAAGTATTTTGTGAGAATTGATTTATTTGTTTTTTAATTTTACTAATATTTTTGTATAACATTTTTAGGCCGAGAAAGAAGGCGTTCAACCGTCTGCTCTGCGTGTCTTACAAGACACGCATCGTCGATCGGATGGGACGTTTAGGCCGAGAAAGAAGTCGTTCAACCGTCTGCTCTGCGTGTCTTACAAGACACGCATCGTCGATCGGATGGGACGTACGTAGATCATCGTGCCCAAGAAATTGAAGAGGCCATTCAATCGAAGATTACCGATCGAATGACGATGGACGAGAGCAGTGGTTCAGCGCAATTGACTCTGCAGAAAATCAAAAGCTTGTATCTCGAGGTAATTTTTGTATTTAAAATAATATAATATGTTAGAGTTTAAATATTATTTACATATTGTTTTGAAGGTCGTTCCTCCCGATGCGAAAGGTCGGATTTACGGGACTGGTGCGTTGGCGAGTCAGCTCGGGGGTGGTGACGCATCTTCGTCGTCCGTGGTACGTCATGTATCTCTGACGTGTGAAGTCGAGGAGCTGAAGAGAAAACACGAGGAGATTTCTGCGGAATTTGTAGCTGCTCGGGAGAAGATTGCTCAGTTTGATGCAGCTCAGGCGAAGATCGCTCGGTTAAAGGATATGATGCAACGTTTTATGCCTCCGACCGATTCCGCCGGTTCGTCTGCTCCGAATCCCGCCGTCAATCCCGGTCCATCGGTTCATCAAGACGAGCAACATCCGCAAAATCTCGATGATTTCCCGGACAATTTCGCAGACAATTTATTTCGTTAGATTTCAATTTTATAATATATAAAACAATTTCGGTTTTTTATAATATTATTGTATAATTATTTTTTTTAAACGAAATTTTTATTTTTTTTCGAATAAAATAACTTTGCGACGGATTATTCCGTCGCATAAGGAATAATCCTACAGAAATCTTCCATCGCTTTCCGTAGCTACGTAGCGACGGAAAAACCCGTCGCCATGCTATACCGACGGATAAATCCGTCGTTTACGGCCGTCGCTAATTTGCGACTAATATCCGACCAATCCTCCCGTCCCTCTTTGCGACCAGTGTGCGATGGAAGATCCGTCGCAACATACGACGGAATTACGATGGAGATTCCATCGGTAACAACGACGATTGAACGACGGAATTTCCGTCGCGTTTACCATGGAAAAACGACGGAGTTTTCGTCGATCATATCGACTACATTGCGACGGTTAGGCCTTCGCTTTTACCGGCGGAATATTCCATCGCTAAAAACGACTGACTTACGACGGGTTTTTTCCGTCGCAACTATGCGATGGATGCACGACCGGGATATGTTTGCGACAACCATTAACGGACAGAACTTATTCCGTCGGTGTCCGTCGCAAACCAGGTATACCGACGGAAATTCCTCTTTAGTGCGACAGATTATTCCGTCGGAAAAGTGAGTGTTTTTTGTAGTGTATGTTCTCGGTTGCAATTAACGATGAGCTCTGTGGCTACTTTGAAGGGGCAAGAGGACTAAGGCAAGGTGACCCTATCTCCCCTTACCTTTTTATCTTGTCGATGGATTTGTTAACCTGAATGCTTGAAAAGGCAGCGGATGAAGCCAAATATGTCCTTCATTCTAAGTGCAGCCAACCTCGTCTCACCCATCTCTCATTCGCCGATGATGTCATGATTTTCACCGAGGCTACTCCAAATTCACTGCATCAGATAATGCAGATTTTGGCTGACTTTGGCTCCTACTCTAGGCTTCGACTAAACTTGGACAAATCTGAACTCTTTACTAGCGGGATCACTGAACACGACTCTACCACGCTCTGCCCAGCTCTCGGCCTTAAGCAGGGAAAACTACCTATGCGATATTTGGGCATACCGCTTAACGCGACGAGGCTATCAAAATCTGACTTCCAGCCGATTATTGATAAGATCAAAGCGAAGATAGCATCTTGGACAACCCGTTTTCTCTCCCTTGATGGTAAGGTCCAACTTGTAACGTCTTCGATCTATGGACTAGTTCATGCTTGGAGCGGTGTCTTCTTACGTCGGGCTCCCTATCGGTCGCATGGCTCAAGCATAATGTGTTTAAGCGTAAGGGTTTTTGGGACACAAATCCGGCTGCCCGGTTGTCCGACTCCCTATAGTTTACTCCAGGAATATTTGGAATCCTAACAATGCATCACATGACAAGTAGAGTCAGAGTCACTACATTGACGTGGATGGCTTAGCGTCCTTAGTGACCCACTTAATGACAACTACCAAAAGGTGTCATATGCGCAATTTCCTATGGAAGAATTCGAAAACATTTCGAAAACAGTTTAAAAAAAACCTTTGAAAACAGTTTTCTGATACCAGTTGTTACGCAAATTCCTTCCCCGTGGAAAGAACTGTTCTGATACCACAAACTGTGACACCCGAAACTCGTGTCCCACAAAAATCACGAGTTGCGCCACATGAACAACAATAAAATAAATACAATTATCGAAAATACACGGGATTTAAAAATTTTCAGTTTATATAAGTATGGAGCGGAGACAAATACAAATACGATAGTGTAACTACCGGGAAATACAAAACTCATAAATCAACACTACCAATCTTTTTGAAACAGGAATCTGCGTAACTCTAATCTAAATCTTCTCGGTCTTCCTCTTCACACTCTTGGCGTCGCTGTGTCCATCCAACGCTTCTCTTTGCGCTATCTCGAGTTGAAACGTTGAATAACAACGTCCTAAACTATATGCTTAGTGAGTACTTCGGGTTAAATTCGAAGATCATACTCAAATTGCAAATGGCCAAGCACAAACAATATTATACACGCACTATATATATGTGTATAACATATATACACACCACATACCATAAAACAAAGTCCACGCAACCAACAAGGAATCATATAGCAACCACAAACAGTCCGAATGACAAGTCATCGGACATAACCGTCAAATCGTCTCTATGTGCATCACACACATAGGATAACACACGGATCTGGTATCACCAGTCCAGGACATGTATACAAGTTATAGCTCGACCCATCGGGTCTATCAGTAACATCGATACCGTCAAATCATCTCTACAGTGCATCACACGCGTAGGTAAAACTCTCCCTGTGCAACGCACAATCCCCCGCTCTCCTCGGTCGACGCCGGAATAGTAAAGATACAACAACCCGGTGCCCAACACTCCATAAAAATGTATCACATCAACCATCCCCTTTGATATCGATGTCACCTCTCGATACCAGAGCGCCAGGTGCCTCCTCCAGGCCACCCCCGACTATGTCGAGCGAAGTCAATCAACAACTGACAACCTCTCCCCAGCCATCCGCCACGGAAAAGCTCATCAAACAACGCGATCATCGGGATATCACCTCAACCCAGGCTACAAACACACGCTCGGCTTTACTTCGGCCCTCCGAGGTAAAGTCTCACACCATGCCAACTACCCGATTTGTTGGTTTAGTGCTCTATGATGTACTGTTTTGCGAGCTTTACTCGGATACATTTGATGTATTGACACTTTCTATGGTTTTATGGATTAGTGTTTGATTCATTACGTATTGTGCATGCTTTAATATGTTATGAAATCCATGTATTGTTATGAACAATACTAAACTCCCTAGTCATGTATTATTGTGGGAATAATGATATACTAAGACTAGTATGATGTGTGATTGATGATCATATAGATGATCATAGGTATTGGATACGATCACAGACATAGGTATTCGTTGGAGAACGGAATACTGGATTGACACGCATGAGATTGTCACATGGACTAGCATCATGACTTGAATCTCATATGGCGGTTCCATGATTGGATCCTATGACCTGAGATATCTACGGAATCCAACATGAGGAGTTGAGTACTTTGAATCCGTCAAACGTCCTGCGTAACAGGAGGACTATAAAGGCGTGTATCAGGTACGAAATGAATCATGTGTTGGATTGTAGATAGTCAAGACGGGATTTGTACCTCTCGTAAAAGAGAGAGATATCGTTGGGCCCCTCGTGTGAGCGAGACTGTAGGAATGTGTGGCCGCACTATAGATGAGCGTCGTCTATTTCAGACAGTCGAACTCAATGAACAAGAAAGCAGTCGAATCAGATAAGGTGGCTTGTCCATGCCTTATGTTCGACATATGATATCGCGATGCAAAAGGATCATCAACCGGAATCATCTCTGGCGTTCGTAAGATCACGAACAAACTCTATTTGAGATAGGTAGTCATAGTGTCTTGCTAGAGACCGCCTATGACTTGTATATCCGGAATAGAGATTTCGGATTATACTGCTATATCGAATGAGCCTACAGGGTTACACGAGAGAAAATGACGAAAAACCGGGTCGGAAGGGTCCAGACCCGACGGTCTAGAAGCGTGGTCCATCCGTTCCAGAGTCTGGAACGGACGGTCCACGTTTAGACGCAGACCGTCCGTTCTACATACTGGAACGGACGGTCCACGTTAAAGGCAGACCGTCCGTGGACCGTCCGTTCTATGTGCTGTAACGGACAGTCCAAGTGCAATTCCGGACCGTCCATTCCAGGCTTCGGGTTTTTCGAAAATTAAACCGAAATTAGGGTTAAATCACCTTATAAGAAAGAGATTAAAATCCTAATTAAGAAAGAGACTTTTTGAGCCGTCTTTGGCAGAACTTCGAGAGCTTTTGGTGAGATCCAAAGAGTTCAAGGAGTTCTAAGTCTTGTTCTCTCGAAGCACAAAATCAAATAGCTGATTCAGGTCCTAGCAGACAAGTTCCAACCATTGGAATCCATCCTGAGGTGTGGATACATGTAGAGGGCGAGGTATTCTTCCTCCCTTTCGTGATTAGACGAGTTCTTCAATTGATACAGGCCTCGTATCGATTGACGTAAGCGTTCTTACTTTTCTACGATTCATAAGAAGCATGGTTCTAAGGTTTCATAAAATTTTGTTTTACATAGGAATAAGATTCGTTCTAGAGATCTCAGGAAACCCATCAATGGTATCAGAGCATGGTTGGTCTGTTTTGATTTCGTAGAACCCGATCACGCAGGTTTTAGGATTTGAATTGTTTGAATTCATGTTTGCTTTGAATTCTATGCATGTTTGATTATTGAATCTATCGTAGATTGCATGTTTCATGTTTTAGGACTTGAATTGTTTGAATTCATGTTTGCTTTGAATTTTAAGTCCACAGGTGAATTCGGATCGGTTTCGGGTCTGAACGGGGCCGAGAACGCGAAAAAACGTGATCTGATCACGAACACTTAGCCTAGACCGTCCGTTCTGGGTATGCCAGACCGGACAGTCCAGGGGTGACGGACTGAGGTTAGACCGAAAGGTTCTGACCGTCCGTTCTGAGTCTGTGGACCGTCCGTTCCAGATAGTCTGAGTACGGACCGTCCATTCTGTCTCACTAGACCGTCCGTTCCATGGCTGAGAGCGGACCGTCCGTTCTGCTGTCATGGACCGTCCGTTCCGTCTGTTCTCCAAGGCTGGTCCGAGCCCCAAACTCTGAGATTTTTCCGTTTTCTAATCCGATTATGCAATTGTTGCGTAATCTGATTGACTGTGACTCAAATAGACATGATTTATTCTTATGGATGGTCCATAGTGAATGAATGCATGTAACTTAATCAAGATATTGGATATGCTTGATTGAGTGGGAGCTTCGAGATTGGGATTACATAATGGAATGGATGGTTTATTCGGATTATGTAATACGTCTGATCAAGGAACAATGGTTGATCCTTGATATGTACAATCGTTGCACAGAAACCGGCTAGATCTAGAAGCTCTACGAGTAAAGCACTTGTCAGGGCCTCGATCGTACGTGTCATGGGCCATGCCAAAGCTGGGTGTGTCGTGCTATCTTGGTGAGGCAAGATGAAGAAATGGTGGTTCTCATAGCTTGAAAGTAGACGCTTGATCTAGGTGTGGTTTCGAAAATCCCTTATTTATGTAATGCTAAGCGTGTACCTCCCATTACTAGAGTGCCTGTCAAGGATTATCTTTGTGAGGCAGGGTGGAAAATCGTGGTTCCCACAGCTTAAACATGGTTTACCTTAGGTTAAGTTGTCAAGTTTGACTTGAAACTTAATGGTACAGATGAGACGAGTATGCAATGATATTTGATATCATAGTCTCATAAAGGATCTAAGAGTCATATTGGATATGATTGACATTAGATGTCTACCTAAATAGCGTAAGGTTGAGTGTAACAACTCATTCTTATGTGAAATACGGATCTTAGTCCCATATAGAAAATTATTGTAGGGTTAATTTTCTATATGGGAATATAGTTTGTATATGCATCTATGTTGTCATTGATTGATGATGGACTAGCTGGTAGTAGATCATTGATAAGTTGTCGTTGGTTGATGATGGACTAGCTGGTAGTAAATCATTGATGGAATCTGCATATTGTTTTGTTTCGTTCTATTTTGTCTTTTTCTGTAGGACATAGCGTCGATCGGTAGTGTACCGAAACCGACGATGCGATCTATCCTTATGAAGGATAAGCCTCTGACCACGGCTTCTAGATCAGTCATTGATGCTTATTGGAAGCATGTGGATGATGATCTGGACAAGTCTAGCTTGATATTTGGAAACATGACTTCGGAATTGCGTAAGCAATTAGAGGACTTAGACGATTCTTTGATAGTTGATCAGTTGAATATGTCATTCCAAAAGAAAGCCGAGAGTCATGGAAAGAGT